GTGGTGGTCCCAGAGGCTTTCCATGAGGTGGGTCCCACATACAGGAGAAAGTCTAAGGTTCCACGAGCTGGAGGCTTTGGTGACGATGGCAGGCCCCAGTGACATTGGGAAGTCCTTGGTTCCAAAAGGGTTTATTTCCATAACAGATGGTAGATGGATCTGGATGTCCCTCCCTGAAAATCAGGGCAGACCTGAGTTAAATAGAGAAAGAGAAAGGAGGAGGTTCTGGGAAGAACGCTTAATTTGCTCTGCCCTCTGGCTTTCATTAGTATGTAAATCCCTACGGCCTGAGGCCTGTAGTCACACCCTCTACCTGTGCACTTTGGGAGGGGCTGTAATGGCCTACGTGACTGAACAATGTAGGTCTATGGAGACAAGACTGTATGTCAGGACTCTGGGTTCTGGAGACGTGGCCGAACACCTGCTGTTTCTCCCTTGGAGTCTCGAGGTTCCAGGCCCATGCTTAGCCATGAACCAAGATACCCTTACGCAGTCCCACAGAGGACCCCACTCTCAGTCCAATGGTTGGCTGCAAGCAACTGCCTCTGTATTTGTCAGGCTCTGGCAAAGCCTCTCAGAAGACACCCATATCAGGCTCCTTTCAGCAAGCACTTCCTGACATTCACAATAGAGTCATTGTTTGGTGACTGTATATGCCCCACATGGGACAGTCTCTGGATGGCCTTTCATTCAGTTTCTGTTCCATCCATTGTCTCCATATTTCCTTCTGTGAGTATTTTGTTCCCCCTTGTAAGAAGCACTGAATCATCCACACTTTGGTCTTTCTTCTTCTTGGGCTTCATATGCTCTGAAAATCGAATCTTGGGTATTCTGAAGTTTTGGGCTAATATCCACTTATCAGAGAGTGCATACTGTGTGACTGAGTTACCTCACTCAGGATGATATTTCAAGTTCCATCCATTTGCCTGCAAATTTCATGAAGTCATTGTTTTTGATAGCTTAGTATTATTCCATTGTGTAAATGTAGCACATTTTCTGTATCCATTCCTCTGTTGAGGGACATGTGGGTTGTTTCCAGCTTCTGGTTATTATAAATATGGCTGCTATGAACATAGTGGAACATGTTTCTTTATTACCTGTTGGAGCATCTTCTGGGTATTCAATCTCTTTCCAACCATTGATTGTGTTTCCCCATTTGACATATTATGCACATTATTTATCTTTTTCAATTGTCAATTAGTACTTTAGAGAGAATGCTTCCTGTGTTGTAAAGAACATTAATAAGTTTAAGATGAAACTGGATAAAGTTATGACCATTAGTTAAAAATAGATCACAAGATATGGCAGAACTCTGAATTTCCTGAAGAGGGCTAAAACCAAGCATCCAAAAATAAAAAGAATAACATTTTATCCTAATTATAAATGCATCTGTCCTCTAACATATACAGCTACACTCTTGGAAGCAGATTAGTTGTGTATTATTTGCACAATCTTAATGATCACCAAACACATAATGAGTAGATATTATACAGTAATATAAAAATTTTGCTCATATCAAGACTTTATTTCCTGAATTCCTATTAGTTTTATTCACATTTACTGTTTACCTAACAGATTTTATGCTATTTTTCAGCTCTTACTTTAAATTAACAATTGGGTTCTCATTGATTCAATGGGTATATGTTTTAAATGCTAGATAACTGTGTAGACTTTATATTGATAAAGCCAGCAAAAATGTTTATTGTTTTTCCCTTCAGTATACTTTTGTTCCCGCAGAAAATAAATATTTACTATGTGTAATGCACAGATGTGGAAAATACTACATTTGTTCATTTCTACACTAATACATGGAAAACCAAAGTAATGCATATGACTTTGTGGAGGAATATTCCATATTCTACTCATAGCTCACTAACTACAGACAAAGTAATACATCTTTGAATGTAGGGAGATATGAGAAGAATTTGTGGGAACAGTTGTCATTGTCAGACCAAACTGATATCAGCATGGTAGCTTAGTTATTATGTACTTATTAATATACATGTCTGGAAGTAAGAAGTCTGAAGTATATGGAAGTAGGTTCAAGTGAAGGGGTCAAAGGATTTGACTTCTATGAGCTCCAAGAGCAAATCTGTGTCCTTGATATGCTCAATTTTTGGACATCTGACTTTATGCCCACATTCTTCATTTTTAAAGTCAGCAATCACTGGCTTCAGTGCTTTTGTTTTGAAGCTCTCTTGCCTGTTCTTCTTTTTTTTTAAAATCACCTTTGTGATTGTTTTAGATCTAAATGCACCAATCTGACCACCTACCTTAAAAGATTTGCAAATAGGGGTTCCATTTTCTGGCCCACAGCTCTGACTGAATACCTGGAGGCCTGCCAGCAACAGAGACAACTCTACATACATTCCCAAAGGCCTGCAGACACAAAAGATTATAGTTCTTCTCAGCATCACAAGTAACCTTTTTCAAAATAGACGTTATATGTATTCATCAAACAAGCATCAACAGATACAAGAAAAGTGAAATAACTCTTTGTATCTTATCAGAACACATGGATTAAAGCTGGAATTCAACAACATAAACAATAGAAAGCCTACAAACTCATGAAAACTGAACAACCCTCTACTCGATGAAGACCCGGTCAGGACAAAAAGAAAGAAAAAAATTAAAGAATTTCTAGAATTAAAAGCAAAAATCAAACAAAATCCAAATGCACAAACTTATGGGAAACAATGAAAGTGGTGATAAAAGTGATAAAACTAATGTCTTCATAAAAGAATTGGAGCGATCTCAAACTAGTAACTTAACAGCACACTTGAAAACTCCAGAAGTAAAAGAATCAAACACACCCAAGAGGGGTAGATGACAGAAAATAAACTCAGTGCTTAAATCAATAAATTGGAAACAAAGAGAAAAATACAAGAGATCAATGAAAACAATAGTTTTTAGTGTGTATTTGTTGTTGCTTGTTTGTTTGTTTGTTTGTTTGTTTTGAGAAAATCACCAAGATAGACAAACCCTTAATCAAACTAAGCAAAAGCCAGAGAGAGAATATCCAAATAAACAAAATCATAAGTGAAAAGCAGGACAATAACAGATACTGAGGAAATCAAAACAATTATTAGGTCTTTTTTCAAAAACCTTTATCACACAAATTGGAAAATCTACATGAAGTGAATGATTTTTTTAACAGATACCACTTAACAAAGATAGATCGAGATAAAAAAAATTACATACTTATTAGAAAATAGAACCAGTATTAAATTCTTTACAAATCTTCCAACTGGAAATAAATAAACAAACAAAAACAAACAAACAAAAACACTAGCCCAGATAGTTTTAGCACTGAATGTAATCAGTCTTTCAAAGAAAATCTAATAACAATGCTCCTCAAATCATTTCACAACACAGAAACAGGAGCACTCTCAAACACATTCTGTGAGGCCAGAGTTACCCTAATAACCAAGCCACATAATGATTCAACAGAGAATGAGAATTTCAGACCAATTTTCATTATGAACATTGATCTGCTTGTACTTGAGTTTTGTACAGAGTGATACATACACCTTATTTGAATTCGTCTACATGTAGACAATTAGACCAGCAACATTTATTGAAGATGCTCTATTTTTTCCATTGCATCATTTTGGCTTCTTTTTCAAAAACAAACTGTCTATATGTGGACCCAAAGGAGGATGCTTAAATCTCACTAAGAAGTGGAAATTCAATAGATATTCATCAGAGGTGGATGGTGTGAGGAACCTGGATGGAAGGGGAAATGAGCAGAACAGGAGGGCTCAACTCTGCAGAAGGCAGAGGGAGTGAACTGGGATAAGTGCGGAAGGTTCTTTGGGATGAGCTAGACACGTAGGTCAATGAAAACTCTTAGTAATCTATGAGGGTGACATTAGCTAAGACTCCTAGCAGTGGGCTATATGGAACCTGAAATGACTAACTCCTATAACCGGACAATATCTCTAATGGAGGGATGGGGATATCAACCTAGTCACCAAACCTTCCACCATGGTTTTACCTGCCTACAAGATGTGCAGGAATGAAGATGGAGAAGAACTTTAGGGAATGGCCAAATAATGGCTGCCTTAACTTGAGAGCCATGTCATGAGAAAGTCAGCCCACCTCTGCCACTATTAATGACATTCTGCTATACTTGCAGACAGGAGCCATCTGTTGTCTGAAAGACCTCATCTAGAAGCTAAGGGAAACAAACAGACAAACGTTAAGCAGAGCTCAGGGAATTATGTGGAAGATGAAGAGGAAGGAGCAAGAGAGGTTAAGTAAACCACAAGAAAACATACAGAATCAACTAACCTGGGCCCAGTAAGGCTCACAGAGACTGAACTACCAACCTGAGAACATGAATGGAATGGACCTAGGCCCCCTACACGTATGTAACAGATATGCCACTTGGTCTTCATGTGGGATTGCTAATAGCAGGAGCAGGGGCTATCTCTCACTCTGTTTCTAGGCTGCCTTGTTTAGCCTCAGTAGGCAAAGATGCACCTAGTATACTGCAATTTGATATGCCAAGGCTGGTTGATATCCATGAGAGGCCTCCTCTGCTCTAAGGAGAAAGAGAAGAGTGGATAGGGGAGGGTAGGGGACCAGAAGGGTATGGGAATGAGGAGAGAGGGAAAGCTCTATTCTGGATGTAAAATAAATAAATAAATAAATAAATAAATAAATAAAACAAAAACAAGTTGCAAATAGTTTGTAACTATTGATCCCTCATGTCTAGCAACACAGCAATGTCGCAGGTTTGTGAGAACATAAGGTACCCAACCAAAGATAAAGGTTCATCACTCTATGTAGTATTTTAACATTTGCAGTACTACTGTACATACTTTGATATTTAGAAAATGACATTAATTATCCTGGGACCACAGTCATTCTATGTTCAAGGCTACACCACCAGTAACAATCATGGTAGTATAAACCAAATGTACACACAATTGTAAATTATTTCCATGATTGCCATGTGCTAGTGCAAATCTTTTCATTAAAAATTAGTGTTTCTCACTGCTGCCAGCTACATTGCAGGTGTGGCTGCTGTTCACACATAAGTCAATAGGTGACACAGAGGAGAGAGGCTATGTTTATGCTCAATGTTCTGACCTAATATTCTCTAAAAACAGCAAGCCTGAGACAACCACCAGTCTGCTACCAAACAGGGAGCCCTGGATGGTGTATTTCAGACACTAAGAAACCCTGAGAGCCACATAAGTGGTGGAGAAATAGAAAAGAAAGAAAGAAAGAAGAAGAAGAAGAAGAAGAAGAAGAAGAAGAAGAAGAAGAAGAAGGAGAAGGAGAAGGAGAAGGAGAAGGAGAAGGAGAAGGAGAAGGAGAAGGAGAAGGAGAAGGAGAAGGAGAAGGAGAAGGAGAAGGAGAAGGAGAAGGAGAAGGAGAAGGAGAAGTAGAAGGAGAAGAAGAAGAGAGAGAGAGAGAGAGAGAGAGAGAGAGAGAGAGAGAGAGAGAGAGGTGAACACACATTGAGGCAGAACTGCAGACTCAAGGGTAGTGAGATACAGGCTGATGTGAGTACCAGGCGATGCCACCTAGAACCATGGTGGGAATATGGCCTGTACTGTCACCAGGGTCCATGTCTGGGGATGCATAGTCCTGGATCAGGAGAGGTCTGTTACCACCAACGACAAGATCTGTCCTGCTGCCCAGGGACATATTGATGCCTGTCAGCTGTGAAGAACTGGTCCCATCCCTCACCTGGGCAACATAGGAGAGCTGACCCCACTCCTAGCCAGCTACAGTACTCAGAAAACTGGCCTGTCTCATTTCATAGGAAGCAGGGTAACACTGGCACTGGTTGTGAGAGTTTCAGGTGAGCCAGTCCTGAGGGTATGAACATGAGACCACTGGCCCTGCCACATATCCTCTGTACAGTGGCATGGGCAAGGGAAAAGATACCCTTCTTACCCCTTGCCACCTGTTTCATGCCCAAGGGTCATGAGAATAGGAGAACTGTCCTTGTCCCTGACCTGCTGCAGCACTTGTGATAGCACACCCTGTACATCCCTGGGCAGCACAGTAGAGGAGAGCATTTACGGTATGGGCACAGATAAGCCAGCACCAAGGGCATGAAAGCTGTAGATCTGGCCCTGTCCCCTTGCTTGAGGTAGCAATGGATAACTCCACAAGGATAGGGCAAGAGAGTTCAGTCTGATGGTGTGGATGCAGGAAAGCTGGTGGGTGGACTGGGTCAGATACCATTCAGACCCAGATCCAAAACCTTTTTGTGTTTTCTCACATAAACATTCATCCTGTCAATGAACTTTTAGAGTGAATAAGGAGCTGGTCCTACTGATCTAAAATTATAGGATCTCCATGACACAAGGAAACAACAGAATATCTGAGAGGAGTTCCAGTGAGGGTCCAGTATTGATAGAGTACCCCATACCAAACCAAGGACTCATCGCAATGAACATCTGCAACCAAAGAAGTGTGGACAAAAGAGTATACTGTGGGACACACTGTGATGCACTACAGTTTTACAATGAGGGTTTTCTTCCCCTGTTGGGAAGAAGGCTGTGAAAGCAGATAACAGGTAAGAGGGGAGAAGGACATGAGTTGGATTAGGGTACATGATGTAAAACTTCACAAAGAACATAAAATTTTTTAATAAAATAATATTCTCTATATTCAATAAGTATGTATTCTCTAGGAGTTTTGGTTTATTTGTTTGTTTGTGGGCGGTTTTGTTTGTTTTTCATTATTCAACATGACTAAAGTAAATAAGAATATTTGGGAAATTTGCATACATTAGAACTGAGCTTCTTTAGAAACACCCTTGCATCTGAGAGGAGAATCCATCAACAAAGACTTCATTAACCTCAACCTTTTCAGATAGGATTATAATGAAAATGTCAAATCCAAGGGAACTATCAGCTAATTAGATAGTCAGGAATATATGCAGCCAAGCTGAACCAAAACAGCCCAAAATGGTTTAGTCATAAACAGTTTTAAGACATTGATTTGTGTGTGTTTGTGTGTGTGTGTGTGTGTGTGTGTGTGTTTTACATGGGAAAGATTCTGTGTGATTAGTATATAAACATATAAATTAATGTGTCTATCTATATACATTCTGAGTTGTTCATATGTATTAATTTTCTTTTTACAATACCCATGATGCTTTCATCTTCTCTATTACATATGTGACAATATTGGAGCACGCCGTGATGGAGTTACATGTCTCGTGACATGAAAGTAGTGTGGAGCAACTGAACCACGTTGTGAAGAAGCAGAAAACATGTTCTGAAGAATCGTGGTTTTGATGCTTTATTTTTAAAGAAAGATATCAGGTATGGAAACATGAAGTATGGGGAACAAGAATTGTGTATTTTAGTCAACTTTGCTGTAGTTAATAGCTCTGAGGGCCAGCCGAAACAATGTAAACGGGCAACCTTGGGAATTAGGCAGTTGGAGGACACCAGAACGCACCAGAGACCTGGGAGGTGAGAGACTCTCAAGACTCAAAGTGAGGGATCTTAGATGAAATGTCCTAAGTAGAGAGAGTGAAGTTATAGAGCCCACCTCCAACAGGAAGACAAGGTATCAAGTGAGAGAGGGGGTTGTTATGCCTCAATCAAAATTCTGACCCATAATTGTTCCTGTCTGAAAGAACTACAGGGATGGAAATGGAGAAGAGCCTGAGGAAAAGAAGGTCCAGTGACAGGGATTCAGCTCAAGGGGGGGTCCCAAGGTCTGACACTACTGCTGATGCTATGGAGCACTCAAAAACTTGGGCCTATCATGACGGCCCTCCAGAAGACCCAACAAGCAGCTGAAAGAGTCAGATGCAGATAATTGCACGCAACCAATGGACAGAAGCTGCTGATCCCTGTGTTGAATTAGGGAAAAACTGGAAGAAGCTGAAGAAGAGGGCGACCCTGTAGGAGGTCCAGCAGTCACAACCTGGAACCCTGAGATATCTAAAACACTGGACCACCAACTAGGCAACATACACCAACTGATATAAGGCCCCCAACACATACAAAGCAGAGGACTGCTGGACCTGGGTTCAGTCAGAGAAGATGCACCTAACCCTCAAGAGACTGGAGGCCCCAGGGAATTTAGAGGTCTGTTGGAGTGGGAAGTAGGGTTGGGGGGTGGGGATTAGGGAGATCCTCATGGAGACAGGGGTGTGTGGAGGAGGTGTGGGATGTGGAAAATTAAGAGGGTGGGCAGGGAGAGAAATAAAATCTGAAGTTTAAAATAAATGAATGAATAAATAAATAAATAAATAGATAAATAAATAGATAAATAAATAAATAAATAATTTAAAAAGAAAAAGTAAAAAAAAAAAATAGTAGAGGAGGTACCTAGGCTTACTGTAACTTAATATGTCACAGCTACTTGAAATCCATGGGAGTTCTGCCCTTTTCTGAAGAAAAACAGAGGAGTTGATGGGGAATTGGTCAGGGGCAGAGGACAAGGAGATTAGGAGGGAAGGGAAATTATACTTGGGATGTAATAGATCTATCTTCTTTCAGAATTGAAGGTATCATTGACCAATAATATGAGCACATTTCTGAAGGGTATGTGTGGCTTCCTAGACACTTTTTAATTAAGAAAATATCATTTTTTGCTTTTATACCTCAGGGTTACAGAAGTTAGCTAGAACATGAAGCAACATTTAATGTATGAAATCACTTGTGACCTGAAAGCCATACACGATAGGAGAATAAGTTAGAAATAATCTCGGTCTTGGGCACAATTCCAGTCACCTGGCTCTGCCTCCATTCTTCTTTGTAGTTATTGCTTTTGCTTTTTGTTATATGCAGAAAATAGTTTCAATTCTATTCAATCACAATGAATAATATCTTGTGAAATTATCACTCACACACACACACACGTCTCTACCCTTGTGCATCCACAGATCTTACTTCCTATGAGTTTGAGATAGGTACTCAAATGGATAATTTGGACAGATATTTGATTTTCTATTTTTATGTCTGTTTATATTTCTGCATTAAAATGGTAATTAATTAAAATCTATTAAGAAATTCTGACAATGACAGGATTCTGAGTGTACTACAAAAACCTACTCAAATGTTTCTGCGTACCCACAGTGATCTACCATGAACATTGGGCATGGCACAAGTGAAGGGAGCAATGAAAAATAAAGAAACTTTCGCTCTAATAAGAGAAGCAGGGGTATTCACAGCACAGACTTCTCTTTAAATATTCTCAATTATATTTTACATTCAGTTGTAAATGACTGAAGCTATAGTACCCTCATCACTCTTTTAGGGTAATATATATAATTGCCATTTAAAACTGAGCTGAAAGTGCTCTTGAGTTAATAAGATGTAAAAGTTAAATGCTAAAAAAGAACTGTCATTCATTATAAAATAGAATACAAATGTTATTAGAATATAGTAAGAAGTATAAATAGAAATAGGAATAAATGTATTTTATGTTTGGAAATAAACTATTATAGTATAGTATAGGATATATAGGTCAAGGAAGCCCACATAATACACTGTTTTTATGTAATTCAATAAAGTGAGAGACTGAAGGATGAAAATTCTGGGTTTTTTACATGGAAGATCGCTTGACTCTGATGCAACATTATGCACGATGAATCTGAGTTTCAACTCCTATCTAAAAAACCCGAGTAGCCAATGTAGCCAGAATATAATGATGAAGGCTAACTATGAGTAAAAGAATTGAGCAGCAAATTTAGAGCCACTTTATTATTCTCTGATAAGTCATATTATTAATATGTCGTTGTCCAAATCTCTCCTACATGTCTTTTCCTGTTTGATTGGAACATGTTTGAAAGAATTAAATACCACTTTGAAGTATAACCATGTAGGAATATCTATGGAGTCATAATATCCTGTCCTGATCATTGTTAGGCATAGATAGGAAATAAAGCACTTTATCACTTCCCTTCTAACTGGTACATGCAAATGACTCTCTACATTATTCAGCTGGCATGCTGTGAATTTCAAGAATACCAGAGAACCCTACAGCTAGCTCATACAGCCAAGTCTTAGATAACTTGAAGCAGCATGTCCACTGAAATCCTTGCCAAGAAGATGAGAAGAGATGATTTAATGTATTTACAAATAATAATAATAAAAAACAATGAATGGATATCAGAAAACATGATCCTGAATTCTTGTATA